ACCCATTTGTGAACTTGATTTGAGCTTATTCTGGCTGGTAAAAGCTAGCTGACAAATAGCAAGTCTTTGGTAGTTTATGTTGTGTTTTATTCTGGAACATCAATGTGGCAAATACTGTACTTGCTTTACTGGAGTGTAAACATTAAAATTATGGATGTTTGCTGATGATTTGGTGATAATTTTGGAAGATCATCTGGAAGGAATAGAAATATTGATGGATAAATTAAAGGATTTTGGAGTATTAGCTGGTTTTAAAATTAACAAGTAAAAGACAGATGCTAACAAAGAATATGAAAATGGAAAAACAAATGGTTTTAAGATTGAAAAAAAAGTGAAATATTTGGGTATTACTATGACTAACATTAATTGTATGTTATTTCAGAACAATTATGTTAAGTCATGGAATGAAATTAAGAAGGATAAGATGGGAGAAATTAATATTGTCATTGTTGGGGAGAATTTCTGTGATAAAAATGAATGTTTTCCCTAGAATGATGTTTCTGTTTTAAACAATACCTATTTTGACAACTGATGTACCATTTAAGCAATATATCTAGATTTGTCTGGCAAGGGAAAAAGACAAGGGTTAAATATAAAGTACTCCAAGATACAAAGGAACGAGGAGGATTGGGATTGCCTGATTTTAAATTGTATTTTGCAGCCTGCTGCTTGGTTAGGATGAAAGAGTGGGTCTTGCTAAGAAATAAGAGAATTTTAGAACTGAAAGGTCATGATTGAGGTTTGAATGGCATGCTTTTCTATGGTACAATAAAGTTGTCAATGTAGATTTCAAGAATCACTATATTAGAAGTGCAATATTGAGAATATGGAACATATATAACCCTGATTGTGCCTGAAAATGCCTTTATGGGTTGTTAGCACAAGTAGCATTTTATAGAAAAGAAACAGCAGACAAAGAGAGTCAGCTAACTTACGGAGAGCTGTTAGAACAAGAGCATGGAGAATATAAGATGAAATCAAGAGAGCAATTGGCTGCAGAGGGATTTAGTTTTCAATGATTTTCATATGCACAATTAAGAGAAAGATTTAAGGAAGATAACAGGACATTTGGAATTGAACAGCAAAAGACTGAATTTAAACATTTGCATTATATACAAATGATGAACATGTAATTACTAAAATGTTTGTTGAAATTTGAAATGGGAGAATAAATGAAAGAATGTATGATAAAATAGGCTAAGTACTGTGGATATAATATACTGATGGAACAGTAGGAAAATACATGACCGAAAGGATTGAAATTTACATTATGCTACAACTTAAAAGAGAATTTTTACAGAATGATGTACCATTGGTATATGACTCCATAAAAATTATCTAGAATGTATAAAGGTACTTCAAATTTATATTGAAAATGTGGATAATAAGAAGGGTCATTTTATCATGTCTGGTGGACTTGTAAAAAAGCCAGAAAATTTTGAGTTCAAATACACAAAATGATACAAAGAATGTTAAAGATCAATATTCAACTGAAGCAGAATATTTCTGGTTGGGTTTAATGGACAGACAATTAGAAAAGAGTTATGGAAGATTAGTTTTATACATGATCACTGCTGTGAGACTACTGTATGCACAAAAATAGAAATACTCTGAAATACCCACAATGGAGGAATGGTTGGTGAAGATGACAGAACTAGCAGAGATGGCAAAATTGACTTTTTTGATTAGAGAAAGATCAACAACTACATCTATTAGTGATGGGAAACTCCTTATGGACTTTTTGCTGAAAAGAGAGAAGAATGAACTTATGATTTATGGGTTTGACAGTTGGAAAGGGCAGCTTATGGAAAGAAGGAAATTATGATGTAACCTTAGAGAGAGAGCAAAATATAAATACATTTATAACCACCGTCAAGAAGATCAGAAGGCACTTCTATATAATCTTTTCTTTTCTTTTTCTTTTCTTTTCTATTTCTTTTTCTATTTTCTTTTCTTACTATTCACTATTTTTCTTTATCTTCTTTATTCTCTTTTAATATTTGTATTGGTTTTACCTTGTTAAAATTTTCATATATCAAATACTGTACTTTCCAAATAGATGCAGGTTTTAATTATTGTTTTATATCTTATGAGTCATTCTGGTTGCTGAGGCTCTATACTTTATTTGTGAACTTAAATTGGAATGTAGTGAACTACTGTATTAATGGTGTAGTGTTGTATTTAATGCATCTAATTATAGGCAATAAAGTAAAATACTGCTAAAATTCATTTTGAAATAGACTTCTGGCCAACTAGCCTCTCTGAATCCATCCTCCTATTTCTAGGAAAGATTGGATTAATTATTGCTCCTGAGTCCCTGATTTACTTAAAAAACACAAATTTTGGGGATATTCACTAATTTAGCTTTTGACATGGAAGAATTGTGACTGTGGTTGTTCATAACAATCTCAGTTAAGAATCTGATAAGGTCAGATGGACTCCATTAATTCTATTAAATCGTTGTCCAGTCTTTGACATTCCGGTGTATTTTTTTCCATACCAATTAAGAGCTGGAATAATGCTAAATCATCTTACAAAAAGAGACTGGTAATGTTGATGCCCTGTACCAATCACACTGGGGAACAAGAGTGTAGATTCTCTTTTTATCATAAAACTCCACTAGAAAACAATTGGAATGTTTTGCAATAGCTTTGCTGGCCTTCAATACTTGGCTAGATGAAGTTTTGTAACCAATTTTGGAATCAGTATGTAAACGGAGTGTCATCTAGAATTCAACCAACCATATTATTAGATGGTAGATAGATGTAATCCGGATCCATAGGGTCAAGTTCAAGCCTATGGAAAATGGGTCTTTCATCCTCCATTTCATATAAAATTTCTGGACAATTTGGCTTCATGTTTTCATCAAGAACAATCTATAAAAACAGGATGTATAGAATTAATCAATATGAACTTGCAAACAATTAAGAACAGAATTGTTCATATTCCTCTGCTACCTATTCATCATCACAACCTCTTTTCCCATGTGATCTTAAACAACTATGTTGTGAGAAAAGATTAAGGCTGGTTTTTACCTTGTTAAAAATGTATTAAATAAATAAGTAAGTAAGAAAGAAAGAAAGAAAGAAAGAAAGAAAGAAAGAAAGAAAGAAAGAAAGAAAGAAAGAAAGAAAGAAAGATTAAGGCTGAAAAGAGTGAAAATAGTTATAGATGCTGTTGCTATAGTAAAAACACACATTATGTTCCAACATTGTGCAAAACCATTATGTAACTTGTGTTATTGTAGCTTAACATAATGTATGAGCCCAATCTGGCTACTTTGTAAACTGTGGTTTATAAACTATAGTGTTATATGTAAGCACTATGGCTTGTTCAGAATACCATGGTTAAATCAAATGACTTTATTATTAAATCAAATGTAGCCCAGAACGTGTTTTAAAAAAGAGTAGCTTTCATTTTCTAATGCAGAGTTCTAGCACACAATGTGGAATCTGTCTTCCCTTCAGTCTTTCCTATTTGATTCAAAGAAAGGGGAAGCTGTAAATGTGCAAATAGATGCATGCACCAAGCTGTTTTACTCCAAAGAAATAAGATAAATTACTTGTGCAGATTCTTTGTGAGTCCTTTAAAAAAATGCATATGCTGGTTATTTAATATTAATGCTATCAATTCAATTTAAAAAATTGAAGAACAATAGATCCAAATATGAACTTTGTTTTTTGCAATTTTACATAAATCTGATGTATGAACTGATGAAACCACAATGATTCATGACATAATTATAAACTGCCTACCTTCAATAACTGCCCATTTCCTGTCCCTAAAAATAAAACAATCTTGTTTAGAAGCATGGTGGCATAAACTGAAACCAAATTGAAATGACTCAGAGAAGTTGAGTTGTTGACTGGCTGTATAATCTTTACCTGAAACAGAATGAACAAAGAAACATGACATTAATATACATCATTAAATCATAACTGAAAGGAAAAAATATTCAGTAGCTATCAATATCTGTGGGAAGATTGGTTGTCACAGTATATATTTTGGGTAGGCTTCAACACAATATTATTAAATTGATCATTGGGACTAATATAATATATATTAAATGTATTATAGAAGATTTTTAAAATTTGGCATAATTAGATAAGAGAAAAATCAGAAACACATAGCCATTTATTGTACAAAATACTGCACACATTCCTGAAGAAAACAGGCATGGCTCTTTCTTTGATCATAAATTCAGTTGCATTTACCCATCCTACCATAGCAGCAAGCATGTCCTTAGAAGCATATTTTCTTAATTAATGATGCCTGATCAGCCTAGCTAGCCTAGCTAGCTTGCTGCCAGCTATGCGCATCCAGAAAAATAATTTTACAGGCAAATGTTGCAAAAAAGAAATAAATATTATAACATGGAGAGCTGAAATATAAAATACAGAAAATGTAAAGGTCCAAATCCCAGGAGTGAAAAATATGTATCTATTCCTGGCTCTCAATAATTTATTCTGTTTTGAAATAAGATTATGGATAATGGCCAAGTGGAGCATTCTGAGCACTGGAATCTCAACATATCTGGAAGGCATTAGGTAGAAGGCTATACTATACATTATGGGTTTTGTATTCAGAGGTGATCACGCAATGTAGTTTTGGGGGAGGTAGGATATCATTTAATGTATCGTTTTCATACTACTTTAATACCAAAAAATGCCTGGCATTTTTAGACGGTGAAGGTGCTTATAATGTGTTAGTGAAGCCTCCAACATTGAACCACTGATTTTTCCAGTGATACCTTAAGGAGAGGGAATGAGTGAATACACAAGCAATCCAACCATGTATATAGTACATTAGTGCCTAAGAAATTATAGGTAAAGGAAACAATTTAGTAGTGTACATTTATTTGTTTCCAAAGTATGGATCACCTTTTTAAAATCTCTTTTTCTTTTTATGATGTAGCTAAATCTTTCCTTGTCTTTCTAATATTTATACCATGCCCTAGATGTTTGTCTGTTGCTTTTTCTTTAATATTTCACAGTGCTACAACGCTTACAAGAAGGTAAGAAAAACAGGAAATCCTGTACAAAATCTTTCACCTCCTTTTCTGAAATGCCTTTTATAATTTCATTTTATCTGGGTCTATGTTTCCAGAGCTCATGGAATCATAATGGAAAACCTCTTTTAAAAAGACCGAACTCCTCTATTACCTTTTGTTGATATCAGTTCTACGTGTACTTCTTAATTTTCTACTTACAGTGCAGAAAAAAAGTTATGAAAAATTATTTTGTTATTATATTTATAATGAAGATAATAAAAAAGGTTTCATATTTAACAGCACTGCTAAAACCTGACAGATAATTTTTACCTTGCTTTAAGCCAAGGTTATATCCAATCACTCCAATCTTCTTCAACCAATTGTACTGTACTTCAGCTCCCATAATTCTCAGTCAACACAGGATATGCATTGGAAAAAGCCAAACTAGGTTATCTTTATATTATATATTACCACTTGGCAAAGCTTTTCTCTCTGTAACCAAGTGACACAGCTTGGTTTAACAGTTGTCCTTAAGTTAAGGTGTTAAGCTGTTGTGAGGGTTCTTCACTTTCCAAGGGCTGGACACACCACAGCATAGCAAATCTCTACAAAATGCTTTATTGCAGCACACACCTTCCCCAGCAGCAGACTATTGCTCTCCACCCATCTAGGACTTGCAAGCTGATGTTGCCATGTAAATATGTTTTTAATACTCAGCCCTTTAATATTTAGTTCAAGCAAAAGTCTGTAAGTCTATAAAGTGACAGACAACCTTTGCCTCCTTCCAAACATTCTTACTCTACAGAGTTGGATGAGGTGCTGCTTCAAGGTGGTGGTTCTTCTTCTAGTTGCTACCGAGGCAAAGCTCCAAGCAGAACTCCCACCAGGATACGCTGCTCATCATAACTTGTGGTCCATTTGCCTGCTTGTAATAACTGCCAGTCTCCAGACATTGCTTCCACTTTCTCATCTGTATGCCTTTTGCTTATCACCTCCCCACTCTGTTTTGGCATTTGTGTTTGTAACGTGAGGCTGCCTGTGGACATTGGCGCATCCTTGAAAACACCAGGGCGTGGCTCAATTCTCACAGGCAGCTGGAATGCCAGCTTGGATGCTCCTGAGTAAAGTTGTGAGTTAATGAATGAATGTATGAGGGAAATGGAGTGAGAAGCATTTCTGCCTGGCTGCAGCTACTTTTCCCAACTTCCCTCCCTCACAGCTGTCCTTCCAGCATTGCTTGTGATGCAACTATTAAATGGCACAGAAATGTGTCATAGAAAATAAATGCACTTTAATATGTTCCTTTAAGTTTTTGGACCATCTGGTATGTCTTCAATGCATATCTCTGTTTAAGGTTCATTTCAGAGACAACTGCTGTGGCTTCTTACCCACTTAAAGGGGAAAACAACTTTAATACCAGAACACCTAAGGTCAACTTTAATCTGCCTCAGATATGGATTGGGGATGAGATGAAGATAATATCATGAAAAAAGAGGAGAAAAAGGGGGATGCTAGTGCATGTTCATGCCATGCTTAGATCCCATCTAAATAAAGAAGACCACACAGAGATAATTCTCCCTATGTACATTGAAAACATATTTTCACAGCTGGCATTTGGCTGATTACCAATTGTGTGATTTAAATAGAGAACATAAGGAGAATCATCCTGTCAGTACTGGCATGTCCCAGTACAATTATGTCGCTGAATAAACAACTGGGAACTGAAGGCAGCTGGTCATTTTTGAAGTGCTGCACCCTCTGTAAAAACGCTTTCCTATTTAGGCACCAAAAAAATTGTATTATTATTGTATGGCACCTTTTATTTCCCAAGTCTCAATAAAGCCCTTCATTATCATGTCCCAAAGTCTAGGTACAGAACACCACCACCACCACCCCCGCAGGGCAGTAGACTTAAATTTGGGGAGATTGGATTAAGTCTAATTTAAGTAGTTTTAAATCTGGGAAGATTGCTTTTCCACATCCCCCTTGAGCCAAATATTTTTGTACCATGCCACTTACTCTGTCACAGCATCACCAGCTATGTTTAATGCCAGAGGCCATTAAAATAATTGTGGTCCCTGCTCAGAATAAAACTGTATATCCTTACCCTACAGTAAGTCCCCAATCAGTATTCCTCAATTTGTAGCTGGCTGGGGATGACAGTGAAATGTATATTAAAAGCATCAGATTACAAAAGGCTGATTTAGGTTATCATGAACCTAACTTCCAAAGCAGAGATGAAGAATAAGACTGGGCCAAGGCCTTCCCAAGGAGGCCTTCCATTGGTCAGATGTCAATGGTAGGCTCTTTTCCTCTCCCATGTTCTGGTGACAATGGAAGAGCAGAACCACACAAGGGCTTGCAGGCTAGATTAAACCCTAAACCAGAGAGATCCCATTACAATTGCATAGTCTTGAAATAAGTGAATTAATACTTTTCCTCCAGACATATAAACATAATTTCCCAGAATTTTCAGCTGTAGCCATTTGACTGAAGAATTCTAAAAATTAAAGTCCACACATCTGGTTATTACTATTGTTATTATGACTTGAATTGGCTTTAACATAACCCTGGATGTTTTAATTTTTGCTTTATATAAGTTCAAAGAATCATTGATTGCAGTGGGGTAGACGCTGTAGATGGATGGATAGACAGACAGACAGAGGCCAGGATGGTGAAGACTGCTTTTAAGCATGTGGGACATAATTCTCTAACTCCAAAGAGATCAAGCTTCTTGATACTCATTTGAGAAGGGGTCATGTGAACATTAACTCTTTAAATTTATTGCAGCTCTCACATATTGGAAGAGTTCTTCCTCAGGATGATGACAAAGAAATAAACCCCAGTTATATCACTGTTGTTTTTTCTAGGCAGTATTTTCAGAATTGAGAATAAGTATCACTTTATTAGAATCTTCAGAGTCCCCTAAATATCTAATATCCAAAATACATGGAGTGGGACTAACAGCTCTCAGAGAAACAGATCTAAGAATTAATATCTCAGACACACAATGGGCTACACTTTGAAAGAATTCCACATTACGATCTACATTTTATTTATTTATATTTCAAACTTACAGTAGATACCGTCCATCTCATGAAAAAGTGACTCTGGGCGATTCACAATAAAGCAACAATAAATATTAATTAAAATACAATAAAAACAATATAAAAATTCAGTAAAAATAGAATAAAACCAAGCACATGCACAAATAATAATATCTTCCAAGATGTTGAATATCAGTAAGATGTTAACATATGGGAGCATCTTCAAATATCATATATC